CAGAGACGGTCAGAAAAATGAACAAACCAAACCGTGCGCCTGTCACCCTCAGCCCAGCAGGCTAGGGATGCTCAGAGACTCAAAAGATCTTCGCTCAGGAATAAACTGCTCTGAAAACCGAGATTCCGGTGACATGTGGCTTCTAGCAGATTGTGCTGGTGGTGGCAGCTCTCTTAAGGAAAGCTGAGGTCCTGAGTGCTTGTTCAAATGAATTATTTTGGGGCACTTCTCTGCCCACTGTTATACCAGTGGGCAGGCATGCTGATCACAGTGGGCCCTTCTGGCCTGGGGAATTTATGAAGCTTTGCTTAAGGAACTCTTATAACTAGGTTCCAACTCTGTTTAGCCGATTTCCTAGTTACCTCGGTTCTTATGTTTGCCTTGTCAGCGTAGTATCTGATGCCCAGTCATTGAAGAGAACACTGAACACTTGCCCAGTTCATCATTTTGTTTGGCTTTTAAATATCTCTTTGCTTCTTAACCTGTTGCCATGGGGCTCAGAAGGCCACGGTCTCTGAAACTGGGCTCCGTAGTTTCCTCAGTAAGTTGAACGAGAGGACTTTCCACCCCGTGTGGCCACACGACAGCACAGACTCAGACATGCCCATTGTAACGGGAGAAGATATTTCTAAGCACATGGAAAATGTGTATATAGAAAATGTGGTAACAAATCCATGGCCTCAGAACGCCACGCGACAGTAGCGATGAGACTCAGAAGCATCCGACCACTTCAGTGTAAGGAGAATCTCTGCTAACAGCGTAGAGGCTATGACACACCAAGATGAGCTTTTTGACATTTATTCAGCAAAGGTCAGCGGTGTTCATACCCACTAACTGGCTCATTGCTATCTGTGTTACACACGCAACCTTTGCTTGTCAATGGACTTTACAAACATTGATTCTCACGACAGCCCTGTGAGGTAGGAATGATCAGCCCCATTCTGCAGATGGGGAACTGAGCCACAAAGATTAAGGGACTTGCCCAAGGCTACAGAGAGAGTTGGTGGCAGAGCTGGGGCAAGATTACTCCATCCTGTGCCCAGCCCACCAGACCATGCCTCTCCTTCATGGTGAGATGTGCTTCTGACCTTATAAACTCCCAGCCTGCTAACCCCAGCGAAAGGAATGTGGTTTTCCTTATTAAATAATGGGAGCTGAAGGGAGATCAGGTGACTCTACTTCATATTATGTTCGATAGCCACCGCCCCTTCTCAGAGCATCTCGAGTGGCCATCTCCTGTGACAAGAACACTGCCCATTGGAAAAGCATCTGGGCAGGAAGAGGCTGCTCTGTTCCCTTGCTTTAACCAGACGTAACTAGATTTTACAGCAGGAGCGACCCTGTAAGAGACATGATCCGGCTAGCACCATTCGGAGGTCATCAGAACAGCCCTGACACCAACCAAAAGCACTCTTTGGTAGACAGTGAGATAGGTTAGCTATGTGGACTATGGCTCCCTCAGTAAATCATGTTTGTTTGCGTGGCTCTTCAGGTCATCAGCTGTCTCAGGATTAAGTCTGATCTCAAGACAGAGCTTAGCTTGGCTGGGGTTTCAGAACCCACAGAACATCGGCCATAAAAACACCTGTTCTGTTTCATTCTGATATTCAAAGGGACACTGTCAAGCAATAGAGGTCCCCCAAATGTGACCTCCCTTAAAACAGTTTATCTCTGTTGAATTCTAAATTGCTTTCAAGCCGGCATTTTCAAACCCACCTGCCCACAGTTCGCCAGCTAAATCCCTAGGTCGGTGCAGGAATCAAAGTGCGATCCACTCCCGTGTCTCCAACAGAAGCTACAAGAGGCACTCAGATCCCATGGCGAAGGGAGGTAATATAATCCCGTAAAACGGCAGCCCCCGGTGCAGCTGAAAATTGGGCTGCTTTGATTCATCTGCTTACATATAGATTTTGGTGGCTAGCCCCAGGCTAGATCTCTGTGGCTGTCGTTATTTTTGATTTGCTGCGCCTTTGCTCCAAAGCTAGTTAACACCCCGCATTGGTATGGTTTCTGTTCTGAGGTTCCCCTTACGCTAACAAAACCAGCTCTGTTCTCCAGGGCTGTGACGCGGCACCCATCCACAATGCGTGAAAAGTAAAAAGGGGGCAGCTGTATTTGACTTCCTGCTACAGTAGAAGGCTGGGCAGAGTGGGGCACAGGTGTGGAAGGGCCCGGTGAGGGGAGAACAGACTGTGCCAAATCGAAAAGAAAGACTTTTTATTTTCAAGCTTTTAAAGAGAATATTACAAATGATGGAGAGTAAAAAAATATCCCCTAAAAGCTATTTAAAAATAACTTGACAGTGTCCCTTTAATACCCACAAATGATTCAGACATTGTGCACTGAAAGAGAATGTTCCTGGATACTGTCACTTTCATGGATGGCTCCTAGAGAAAGAGACTTATTAAAAGTGGAACTTATTCACGCTGGCTATGTCTAGACTGCATCCCTCTGTCGACAGAGGGATGCAAATCAAGCACATCGAAATTGCTAATGAAGCCGGGATTTAAATATCCCATGCTTCATTAGCATAAACATGGTTGCCGCTTTTTTCAAAATGTAGTTTTTTCGAAAAAACCCACAAAAACGGCAGTCTAGACGTGGATCTGTCGAAAATAAAATAGGTCCTGTACACCTCATTTTTTGAGGAATATATGATCTGTCGAAAAAGGGTTTATTTTTGACAGATCCGTGTCTAGACTGCCTTTTTTTGAAAAAACTCCGCTTTGAAAAAAAGCAGCGGCCATGTTTATGCTAATGAAGCGCGGGATATTTAAATCCTGCTTCATTAGCAATTTCAATGTGCCTAATCTACTTCTCTCTGTCGACAGAGAGGTGTAGTCTAGACACACCCTCAGAGACTGCGTTCTCTCTTCAGACTAAGTCTTTGTTAGCTTATCGTTTAGTGTCTTCCATTCAATCATTCCTCAAACTGGATATCGAGAGCTTAACCTACAACATCGAGTGAGACTCTTGCAAACTGAGCAGCAGGGAAATACAGGTTAAAACCCCCCCCTCCTCTTAGGAGTATCTGAATCACAGATGCAGGAGAAACTGTGGACGTGGGACTGGCCTAGTGTTAGCAAATAGGGGGATGAGGTATGAGCAGAAATTAACCCGGAGCAGCTGCCTTTGTCAAAATCTCCCTGGAGGATGGTTTTTGTGAGCGGGAAGGTTTGGAGGTGGGATTTGGGGGCATCGTACCAGGACTTGTGCTTCAAACACCCACAGTGTCTTTGTACAAATGTTGCCCCAAAATGTCGGTCAAACCGTCTCTCAAAACCAGGCTCCGAACCCCTAGCGGGAGCATCTGACATCAGGGGTTTTTGCTTTGGGTGAAATCTGGACAGGTTTTTTTGTTTAATATCAAAACTGAAAAATCCTCAGCCATTTCAGTGGAAAGACGCTATCGTGAATAATACAAGGCTCCCACATGATTTATGAAACAAAACGATGGATCACACCCCTGCTTAACACCATCCGAAAACTCCTCTAAATACATCGCCTCCTTCATTCCCCTTCTCGCTGTTAGAATCCCACGCTCTGTGTGTGTGTGTGTGTTTGTGTGTTTGAAGAACATTACCCATCCCAGCTAATAAAACTTGTAAGACATGCTAATACCGGCTCTGACTCTGCTTCTCCAAAACTCTGCCCAGTCATTTGTTAGTCCATATTGCACTTGGTTTGTTTTTATTTTAAAAAATAATATTGACTGGCTGGAAAACGTTAACCTCTTCAGCATGTGTGTGCACCTCTGCCTCTACCTCCTTCCTCCGTTGGCCAAGAGCTGCTTCTCCACCTTGCGCAGCTAGCCAGAAAAATTAAAGGCACACCATGCATCACTGCTCTTGAGTGCTTTGTCTCCTCCGCTTTGTGGTAAGGCCTCCTGAATTCTTTCCCTCAGACCGTTGTGACCCGCATGACAAGCTCTCTGTTAGTGCTAGACTGGCTTCTCTGTTCGTGAGGCCGCAGCTGGCTGAGTATATGCAAGATGGTGTAAGCACAGTGGTGGTCGGACAGGGTGCCGGTGGTGTGGTTTGTGCCTCGGACCCCGTTGTCGGTAGGAGCGGAGTTGCTGGCTGTACCACCGGTGGAGGACGAATGGTTGGTTTGGGAGGAGGTTCGGACATTTGTCCTGGTCCCTGTTTTTTGGTCCTCCATATCTTTTGTTTTGTCATAGTTCAACACTTTCCACTGCTGATTTACCGCCTGCCACCGTTTGAAAATCCGGTAAACTGAGGGCCCTTCATGTATTATTAGACCTTGAGGGAAGGCAAAAAAAAAAAAAAAAAAGACACTTTAGTGAGAAGTTGGAAATCCAGCAAAGCATCACTCCCTTTTGCTGCCTGCTCAGTGGCGTATGAACTCAGCTGTCTTGGTCAGTGTGTATTCTATGATAAATCTTTTAATTACTGACCACCAGAGCACAAATCCTTTTGCTCAGCTGGACCACCTTCCACCCGAACTAAACAGATCGCCGTTTTATCTCAGCCGTCAGGTCTTACGTACGACAAGATGGCTTATTCTGTACAGCACAACAATATCCCTTCACTCTTGGCTTGAGCTACCATGCGCGTGATCCATCAAAATCAAAGCCCTCTCCAAAGACCAGCGTGTGTCATTTCTCCTCATTTTGCAGATGGCATAACCAAGACTCAGAACTGACGTCCTTCTCCTGTGATCAACCAGCCAGTCAGGGATAGGAATAGCATCAAGGAGTCTCGATTCCCAGTGATCAAGGCACTAGACACCCACTCCCTTGCTGCCGCTAGTCAGGCAGCTAGGTTTGAGTTACAGAGACATGTGATGTTCACGCAAGGGTTGCCAATGGCTTGTAGATTCCAGTTACACCCCCATGTATGTTTTCAGATAAATGAGTCATGATATACTTTGTGTGTAACTGCCACCGGGCGGATTTGAACCTGGGACCTCTAGAGCAGAACATAGGAGCCTCTACCCTCTGAGCTAAAAGCCAGCTGGCTCCCAGCCCATGCTGTAGAGGTCTCTTGATCTTAGCTATTGCTGTGGTCTAGGTACCACTTGAATTGCTCAGTAACCACACTAGGGCTACGTCTACACTGGCGCGATCTTGCGCCAGAGCTATGCAAATGAGGCTAAGCGTGGAATATCGCCAAGCCTCATTTGCATATCTAACAAGTTGCCATTTTTGCGGAAGAGGCTCTTGCGCAAGAAGGAGCTGTCTATACTGCCCCTTCCTGAGCAAGAAAACCCCTCTTGCGCAATGCCGTTATGCCTAAAAATAATCAGCGTAACGGCATTGCGCAAGAGGGTTTTTCTTGAGCAAGAAGGGCCAGTGTTGACGCTCCTTCTTGCGCAAGAGCCTCTTCCGCAAAAATGGCAACTTGTTAGATATGCAAATGAGGCTTGGCGATATTCCACGCTTAGCCTCATTTGCATAGCTCTGGCGCAAGATCGCGCCAGTGTAGACGTAGCCCTAGTGTGGTTACTGAGCAATTCAAGTGGTACCTAGACCACAGCAATAGCTAAGATCAAGAGACCTCTACAGCATGGGCTGGGAGCCAGCTGGCTTTTAGCTCAGAGGGTAGAGGCTCCTATGTTCTGCTCTAGAGGTCCCAGGTTCAAATCCGCCCGGTGGCAGTTACACACAAAGTATATCATGACTCATTTATCTGAAAACATACATGGGGGTGTAACTGGAATCTACAAGCCATTGGCAACCCTTGCGTGAACATCACATGTCTCTGTAACTCAAACCTAGCTGCCTGACTAGCGGCAGCAAGGGAGTGGGTGTCTAGTGCCTTGATCACTGGGAATCGAGACTCCTTGATGCTATTCCTATCCCTGACTGGCTGGTTGATCACAGGAGAAGGACGTCAGTTCTGAGTCTTGGTTATGCCATCTGCAAAATGAGGAGAAATGACACACGCTGGTCTTTGGAGAGGGCTTTGATTTTGATGGATGAAAACACACACATACTGCCAATTATTCATGACTAGCATTTGTATTAATGGCGTGTCTGGGACAGGGACTGTGATCCTGGAGTCGACCTACCTACACATGCAACGCAGACAGGCAGAATTGAACCTGGGATCTCTGGAGTTTCATGCATGAGCCTCTACAGCTTGAACGAAAAGCCAACTCGCTCCCAGTTAAGACTGTAGAGGAAACTCATTCTTTCTCTCTGTAAATGGTCTAAGTGCCACTACATGGGACAGCAAACCACACCCAGTAAGTGTGTGGGTTATGTACTTTCCCTAGCAGGGTATATGCCTCCCGAGCTTCAGAGACATCCCAGTTCAAATCCTGGTCGAGCCCATATTTGTATTGCCGACAGGCAGAACCAAACCTGAGACCTCTGGAGCTTTGTGCCTGAGCCTCTACCACTTCAGCTAAAAGCCAGCTGCATCTGAGCTAAGGTTGTGTAGAGTAAACTCATTGGCTACGTCTAGACTGGCATGATTTTCCGCAAATGCTTTTAACGGAAAAATTTTCCATTAAAAGCATTTGCGGAAAAGAGCGTCTAGATTGGCACGGATGCTTTTCCGCAAAAGTACTTTTTGCGGAAAAGCGTCCATGCCAATCTAGACGTGCTTTTGCGCAAAAAAGCCCCAATCGCCATTTTTGCGATAGGGGCTTTTTTGCGGAAAACAAATCTGAGCTGTCTACACTGGCCCTTTTGTGCAAAAGCTTTTGTGCAAAAGGACTTTTGCCCGAACAAGAGCAGCATAGTATTTCTGCAAGAAGCACTGATTTCTTACATGAGATCGTCATTGTTCTTGCGGAAATTCAAGCAGCCAGTGTAGACAGCTGGCAAGTTTTTCTGGAAAAGCAGCTGCTTTTGCGGAAAAACTTGCCAGTCTAGACACAGCCATTAAGTAGGTGTGTGGGTTACACCACACACATGTTATTTTCTAGATCCACCAAACCAGCATCATACATGGATATAACAGAAGTGTAGTCTAGTGCTTAGCATACCAGTGGACTGTGGCTAGAACTTCTGACTTCTAATCCTTACTGTCTACTCATTCCTGAGACATTGGGTAGGTCAGTTTCCCCTCTCTGTGCATCAGTTATGAGGTCTGTCACCTCAGGATAGTAAAAATACTCAACTCTCTTGCAGGAGGGTTTTGATAATTTATTACTTAATCTTGATAAATCATTGGGAAGATAAAATAGGCAAGCTGAGTGCTCAGGAGGAATAGTAACATTCAAAACACAGGACTGTATCCATCTGCTCTGATCCCATGGAGAATGGCACAGTATAAATGCCGTGCTTAGTACAGTGCGGGAGGAATCCGTCTGCATCTGTCCATCACATCCCACTAGCCTGTGGGTAGAAACTGGCTTCGTGGACATATGGTAACATTCAATACATCAAATTTCAATCTTGTTCTGAATCCCTGAAATGGAAACAGGATTTTATGCAAAAATAATTCATACGACCCTCCAAATCAGACTTTGTTAGATGGTCCGATACCCAGCGGATCACTCACTACACAAGCACAAGTATTCGAGCAGACGGACAAACGTGTTTTTTTTCTTGGTGCTATTGATTCACACCACCTGGGCTGTGATCAAGATCAGACCGGGATGAGAGAAGCTCCCAGGTAGAGCTGCCCTTGAGAGCAACCACTGTGAACCAGTCCGGGAACTTTCACAAACATAAATGCAACAGCCGAGAATGAAAGACTGGTGGAACGAGAATCAAAGTCAAGTTGTGCCAAAGCCTGCAACTTGACCTTCCCGGTGGGATTGTAGCCATAAGTGCCGATTAAGTTGACTTCCATATGAGTGCCAAGCACAGCATCGCAGAAAGTACTTCTAAGTACTAGTGTGCTGTGGAAATAGCATTTATGTGTTTACTAGCACATTTACCCGGCATTGGTCAGGTCCTTAAGGAGGGGGGCAGGGCAGGAAACTGTGTGGTGTTGTGTGTGTGTGTGTGTGTAGCGGGTGGGCAGGGAGGGTGGGGGAGCAAAGTCCCCCCCCCCACCGGAGATTCAGACCAGGACTGTTTGCTCTTCCTCCTTCTGTCCCTATCGGGGAGCAAGAGCAAAACCTGGTCATTCTGTCTCTTCTATACGGTTTTCTGAGAAGCAATTCCATTCCAGGCACAGCCCTTTTTTCCTGGAACACCCAAACCCTGACCTTGCTTTAAGTTAGGATAAGAGGAAGCTGACTTGGAAGGGATGGAAAATAGGTTTTAAAGTCCTGGTTTTACAAAGCCCTGGCTGAGATACAGTAATTCCTCATTTAACATGTGCCTGCTTTACACGTTTTTGCGATAGCACGATTTTTTTTTTAGGGAACGTTTTTTGAATTACACGACCGTCCCCGGAATAACACGGTTTCCCCAGCTGGCCCATTGCTGGCAGCTGCGCGGGGCTTCCCCTGCCTCCCTGCAAAGCGGTGGAGGGTTCGCTGCTTGCCGCGCCATTCCACAGCAACTCCCCCTCGCCGGACGCAGTGCGGGTCCTGGCAGACCCGTAACAGGGGCATACTCCCAATCCAATCGCCCTCCCCTCTCCTCCCCTTCCCTTCCCCAGAGCCAAACACCTTTCCTCCCTGCTGAAACCCAGTCCCCTTTCTCCCCCAACCTTATGTCCTGGTCCCAACAGATACCACCGCTTAAAACGCAACCCCCACCTTTTCCATTATTTTCAATGGGAAAATTGACCCTGCAGAACACGTTTTCACTTAGCACGCTCATTTTCTGAAACATCTCAATAGTGTTAAATGAGGAATTACTATAATTTAATTGGGATTGGTCCTGCCTTTGGCTGGACTTGATGGCCTCCTTGGATTCTATGATTCTATGAAGCTGCATACCAAATTTGGTGGTCCTAGCTCTTACAGTTTAGGAGGAGTTCTTGAACAGAAAGTCAAAGAAAAGACAGACAAATGCTCTAAAATATATAGCAGCTAAGTAGAAATACAAGAAATACTTTCAAATCCTGTGCGATAAGGAGCTTATCTTTTCTAAGACTGTGCTTATCTGCTTGTTCTTTGGCTGCTGGTGCATCACAGAGTCGTTACTGCAGAAAAGTATCCACACGAGGGGCATGGTGCGTTGGCATCTCCCCAGGCACTCTGAACATGTTTTCCCACCGCTAATGGGCGGGGCTGGGGAGTGAGTCTATCTGCAGTTGGTTGTCGTGAAGAATCAGAAATGAAAGGGGAGGGCTGCCACCCACTCCAGCTGGTGTGAGAGCTGGAATACAGCGCCTCTAGCTCCCAAGGGAGCAGGCCAACCAGAATCCAAGAGGGACGTGTTGTTTCA